TATTCTTATATATATTCCATTTCAAAGTGCAACCTTGTTCTTCCATTGGGAAGTGAAATCTATTTTCCCCATCCTTGGAATATGGGCTTAGCCATGTAACTTGCTTTGGTCAATGAGTCATTGACCAATGTGACATAAGCCCTGGCTGGTGTGGCTCAGTAGATTGAGCATCAGCCTGAGAACCAAGGGGTTGCTGGTTCGATTCCCAGTCAGGGCACATGCCTGGGTTGTGGGCTGGGTCCCCAGTAGGGGTGCACGAGAGGCAACCACACACTAATGTTTCTCTCCCTCTCCTTCTCCCTCCCTTCCCCTCTAAGAATGGGTGAATAAAATCTTTTAAAAAATGTGACATAAGGAACTTCTTAAGAGGTATTTGAACTTTGGAGTTCACCATCTCCTATTATGGGAAACTTTCTGCCCACTGAGAGTAATCTCAGGCTAACACTCTAGAAAGGAAAGACAATATGGGGAGCTATTTCAGCCATTGAGCTGAAATTCCAGACAGTGAGGCCATCCTTGACTATCCAGCCCCAGTAGAACCAGCCCAGAGAAGACTCACCCAACTAACATAAAGGTTGTAACCTAGTAACTTAAGCAAAAAAATATATAAATAAATAAAAATTAAAAAAGCTTGTGAACTGGAATATTTAGGAAACCTTCAAGAAGGAAGTGGAATCCCATTGGAAGGCGGGGTTTAGATATGAATGCTCAAAAATTTTCTAGTAAAAGTATTGTCATTTGCCCTAGAATTACAATCCCTGAAATAATGTATACCTGGACTTTACAGAAAACTAAGCTTCAGAACACTTCTCTAAAATAACAATGATTCTTTGCAGTGAAGCTGGGGGACTAGAAACCAGATTTCATAATCCCTAAATTAGGGTTGTCAAACTCATTTTCACCGGAGGCCACATCAGCCTTGAGGTTGCCTTCAAAGGGCTGCATGGAGAGCTCCTTGCCCCTAGTTAAGGAGTAGTTACATTTATGCTGTCCTAAAATTACCTTCAGCCCTTGGAAGGCAACTGTGAGGCTGATGCTCCCCCACCTTGTGAAAATGAGTTTGACACCCCTGCCCTAGATGAATGCTTTTTCTATTTTGTCTGCATATGTAGACTATTTTTAAACAAAAAATTAGTCTTATACTTGATTTACTTCTGTATGTCTCATATCACTATAACAATTCTGAACTAAATACCAGAAATAAACATTTGTTTTTTCATGAATATTTAAATTCTGCAAGAGCATTTTATTAACTTAGGAGCTCTGATCATTAGGATGGTAACTAAACTGACTACATCTAAACTTTTTAATATTTGGCAATCTGGTAGATCAGGATTTGATGAACACTTTCTACAAAGGCCTAAATAGTAAATATTTTCAGCTTGATGGTGCCATAAGGTGTCTATTGCAACTAGTCAGCTCTGTGATTATAGTGCAAAAGCAGCTGTAGGGGGAAACGTGAATGAGTGAGTGTGGTGGTAGCCAATAAAACTACTCACAAAATCAGATGGTGGGCTGGATTTGGTCAGTGGGCCATAGTTTGCTGACTCTTGCGGCTGGAAAAATACTATCTTGTTTTAATTAGCATTTATTTAGCCATGTGAGTGAAGGTGAACATTTTCCTTCCTTTATAAAACTTCATTGGACTCTGTACTGATATTAGGGATATAGTAGTGATCAGATAATATTTCAGTCTTCAGCAGTATTATTTGATTGGGGATAGGTAAGCAATTAAACAGAACGTTAGCTATGATAAGTTCTCTGAAGAAAGTAAATAGTGATGGAATAGACCCTCAGGGTTTATAGTGGCAGCTCTTTTAAAGAATGTTCAGGGAAAGGAGGTGACAGTTGTGTGAGAAGGAGCTAGCCAGGTGTATTAGCTATCTCTTGCTTTATAGACTATTACCTCAAAATGTAGAACCTTAAAACAACAAATAGTTACTATCTCACACAGCTTCTGAGAATCGGGAATCTGTGACAGATTTGGCTAGTCTGTCTGGCTCAGGGTCTCTCATGAGATTCTGGTCAAGATGTAGGCTGGGGCTGCAATTGGCTAAAGGCTTGTCTGAGCTGGAGGATCAGCTATCAGGAAATCTAATGTGGCTGTTGACCGAAGAGCTCATTTCCTTGCCACCTGACCCACTCCATGGGCTGCTTGAGTGTCCTCAACATGGTGGCTGGCTTCCCCCAGGAGAAGGTGATCCTTAAGAGTAATGAGGAAGCTGTAGAGCTTTTTATGACCTTGTCATGGTAATTATGCACACTGTCACATCTCCATTATTTTATTTATCAGAAGCAGGTCACTAAGTTCAGTCAACACTCAATGGGAGGGGACTTAGGCTTCATCTTTTGAACGTAGTGTCAAACAATTTTTAGGCATACTTTAAACCACCACAGTTTTTCCTTTGGCCACAAATTATTTATTTTTCTTCCACATGCGAGCCAAGGCCCTCTCGAATAGTTTGGCATTAAGGAGACAATATTTGTACCCATATACCCAGGATCCACAGTTATGACAGGCATAATTTGGTGGTTTTTTGCCAATAAAATTATTCAGTAAACTTCGAAGGTATCCTGTGCTTCTTATTAAGATTCATTCCATTAGATAAAACATAAACGGCTACTTCTGCCTGATTCTTTTTGTTAGAAGTGAGTCACTTAAAGCAAATGTCAAAAATTGTGGACGTATTTTAAACTACTATTCCATATAAAGAAGATAAGGGCATTCTACGCAGAAGGAACAGCAAGGACAAAGGCCCAGAAGAAGGAAGACTTTGGCATGTTTGGGGAATAGAAAGGTGGCTAATGTGGGTAACACATATGAGGAAAAGGAAGAGTGGTATGAGATGAGGTTGGATAGGTTCAATATACCACTCCTGGCCTTATAGGGCCCATAAAAGCTTCTAAATTTTGTTGTAAGTGTAAGGGAAACCATTACAAGTATCAAAGCAGAGAATCACAGGATCTGGTTTATTTTACAAAAACAATCACTCTTACAGCTGTGTGGAGCACAAATTAGGTGGGGCTAGAGTGAAAGCATGGAGACCAAGTAGGCTACTCCATTAGTCTAGGTCCAAGATTATACAGACTTTGACTAGAGAGGTAGCAGTAGAAACCAAGAAGTGGACATGTTCTACATTGCAGTTGGAAGCAGTAGTAGTTGTTAATGGGTTGGGAAGAGGGAGGGGAATCAGATGACTCCTACATTTTCATCTTCATGGATGTTGGTACTGGTTACTGAAGAGAAGACTGAGAGAAGGACAGAATTAAGTAGAAATGAAGTTATTGCTTTGGCTGTGTTAAGTTTGAGATATTAGAAGGAGAGAAATCAGGACTCAAAATAGAAATAGAAGATATTGCTGTTGGGCTTGTCTTTTCATACTGAATCTTATTTTTCTCTGTGATCTGTGTGTGCATATCCTTTGCCACTTTTTATATTAGTTATTCAAAATGGGTATCAAATGTTGCTTTTTCCTGGCATTTAAGGTCTCCCCCACCCACTTTTTTTTAATCCTCACCTCAGGATATACCTATTGATTCCAGAGAGAGAGGAAGGAAAGGAGAGAAGAGGAGAGAGAGAGAGAGAGAGAAAGATAAACATCTGTAGGTTGCTTCCCCTATGTGCCCCTCCTGGGGAGTGAATTCACAACCTAGGTATGTGCCCTGCCTGACCAGGAATCGAACCTCTGACCTTTCAGTTTATAGGATGATGCTCCAACCTACTAAGCCACAGCAGCCAAGGCAAGATCCCATTTTTAAAGAGTATAGAAAAAGCTGTGATCTGGAATATCTGCATAAGGATTATTTTGGCTAAGCACAGGTTTCTGCAAAATGTTTTTTAATTACAAAAGTAATACACATTTGTTAGTGATATATAAAAAACACAGCTTAGCAAAGAACTGAACATGAAAATCATCCTTAGTCATACTACCCAAAGAAAACTATTATTAACACCCTGGTCTGTATTCTTCCTTTTCTATCCCCTGTCAATATTCGCCATTCATTAATTCCATATAAATTTATTTGGCTGAGTGCTAATGGCATGAATATGAATAAGACATTCTCCATATTATTAGGGAGACTGTAGTCTTAATAGTCTAATGGGAGTGAAAGACAAGTAGGATTTATCAATTATAAAGTAAAATGATTAGAAGTATGTTTAGGGTCCCTTGGGAACATGAGGAAGAACATTTAATTTAGACTGGGGGAATATGTCAGGTTGAATCTTGGAAGGTGATTAGCAGGTAGCTAAGAGAATGAGGGGAAGAAATATGTTATTATCAGTATACTTACATAGAGGAGGTCGGAACTGTTAATATTTTATTTCTGAAGCTGGTGGTAAGTTGGGTGTTCAGTGTATTATTTATATTACCTGTATAGCAGAAGACTTTAATTAAAGTATTTTTAAATTATTAGGCCTTGGAGTCATTCATGGATATTGATAAAATATTCTGAAAGTAAGAATTTCTTATTGTATAGAAATTAGAGGCAGAGGTACTATAAATGAGAAATAAAAATAGGTGTGTGAAAGTAAGTTTATATATTGTTTGCCTTTTAAGGAGAAGTTTTGTTTTAGGGAAACATTTGTACTGCTTGGAAATTAAAATTACTTTGTAAATTTATATGTAACTATATGCTTTCTACTCCTGCATATCAGTTTCAATATAGAATTCTTTAAAAATACTGTGTTTTTAATCTTTTGTTTCGTTGTATGGTGCTGTTTACAAATATGCGTTTAGTACTATCTTTTTATTTTGATGAAAACGCTTACGTTCTGGCCCATAAATTTTGTTAAGTTCATACTTCTTAGAGGATAGTTACCATTAGAATTGTCTTTCTTTGGAAGCATTCTCTTTAAGTTTTAGTTACAGATTACATTATTTGGATTAAGATTTAAGAAAGAATACATATAAAAATTTAATATTTATGAAAAGAAATTTGATCTTGCTGTTTTATGCTAAATGCTTAAGAAAATAATCATGTGTAAATTTTTTTTTTAGCCTTTCTAAGAAAAGTCTACACCATCCTTTCTCTGCAAGTTCTCTTAACTACCATGACATCTGTGTTATTTTTATACTTTGAGTCTATACGGACATTTGTACATGAGAGGTAAGATGATTCTAAATCACTTTCAGCCACTGCATATGATCAAAAGGGCATAAACAAAGTTCTTTTTTTCTGTTAACTTTTTATGTTTGAGTATAAAGAAGGTTCATTATTGACTCTTGTAAATAAGATTAGTTTTGTTTTGGCAAATATGTTTTCCCAAACGGTTGGTTCTCTTTTCATTTTAATGCTGTTTTCTTTAGCTGTGCAGAAGCTTTTTATTTTGATGAGATCCCATTTGTTTATTCTTTCCTTTATGTCCCTTGCTCTAGGGGACATATCAGTGAAAATATTGTTGCATGGAATATCTGAGATTTTCCTGCCTATGTTCTCCTCTAGCACTTTTATGGTATCATGACTTATACTTAAGTCTTTTATTCATCTGGTGTTTATTTTTGTGTATGGTGTAAGTTGGTGATCGAGTTTCGTTTTTTTGTGTGTAGCTCTCTAGTTCTCCTAACACCATTTGTTGAAGAGGCTATTTTTACTCCATTTTATGCTTCTGCCACCTTTGTCGAATATTAATTGACCATAGAGACTTGGGTTTATTTGGGGGCTCTCTATTCTGTTCCATAGGTCTACGTGTCTGTTCTTATGCCAGTACCAGGCTATTCTACAACAGGGTTTTACTTCTGGACTTTTTAGCTTACAGTTTTGTAGGGTTAAACCCTTATCTCCTGGAATAGTATTCAGAATTTTTACAGTGTGCAGTTTTTAAGACTTAATTTTTTTTGTGCTTTTATTAGACAGATGCCATGTCCCCAAAGCCTAATAAAATGCTTGAAAAATAAAAGTATTTAATAAATGTGTATTTAATTTATCTTAGTGTTGGCTCATTACTAGGATAATTTCACTGAAAAGTTTTCAAAGGAGCTCCATGTGATTTATCTCAATGCTGTTTAAGATCTGACCTCCAAAGTGATTATTTTCAAGGCTAAAATAGATTCTTTATTACAGGAAAGGTAAAATAAGAAATAAATATTTCCTTAAGAGTACACAATTTCTATCCTCCCTGCCCCTACAGAAGGAGTCTTGAATTGTTAGTTTGCGATTTGGGGAAAATTCTTTAATTTAAATTATAGTTATATAGCAAATACCCTAAAAAAGTAGGTATAAAATATGTTTATTATTTAATAGCTTTTCTTTGTCTTTTAGTTAAAATGCAATATCCTAGTTGCAAGAATTATTCAAATATGATAGAAATTCATGAAGTAAAAAGGAAATTTTTTCCCTTTGCATTGTGGGCTCTTTTCTTTGTCTGGCTGCTCCTCCCTATCTCATGCTCCTCAAATTTCCCAGATGGAAGAATAATTTTCTTACCGTTTGGTGTGGATCCTTCCAGACTTTTTTTGTACTTTCACAAACACATAAAATAGACATGTTATTAAATTTGATAATATTATTTATACTATTTTTTAAACTCGAAACTACTTTTCATTTTGTCTTTCAGTCCTGCCTTAATTTTGGTGTTTGCCATTGGATCTTTGGGTTTGATTTTTGCATTGACTTTAAACAGATATAAACATCCCCTTAACCTGTACCTGCTTTTTGGATTTGTGAGTACTTTGACAATTATCTGTCCCTTTAACATTTATTACTGAGTTTTAAGTTTATTTACCTAATTGAATGTGTATATGTATAATCGTAGAACAAATTAATGAGATTTTTAAAAATTTGAATATTTTAGGAACTTTCCTGTAGTCTCTTACTCTGTAAAATGTTTTAAACTTTGTCAGTTTCAAAAGTTTTTTCTGTGTTATGATGTAGTTTAAAGAAATAATGAATTGGAATCATGACTGCCAAATATCTAGAATGTTTGCCACTATCTGGTTATGTGACATATGACAGGGCATGTACCTGTTTTCTCATATGTAAAATGAAAATATTAAAGTTGATTATCCCTGTGATACTTTCTACCCCTAATATTCTGTGCTTTTCTTGAGAAAAAATTATATTGTGGCCTTCATTTCATAGCCCTTAAATTGAAATCTTTATGCCTAACTCCTCAATATTACTTTTATCTTATTACACTGTTTTTTTAAAGGACCATTTTGTTCAGTTGATGTGCTTTACTAACATTTTTCAAAATCATTGTTGGGGGAACTCAAGTTTAAGTTATGTTTGTTAAGATACTTGTGAAAATTAAAATCTAAGCTACTACTTATAAAAACTCAGTCTTAGAATATGACCAGAATGAGTTGGTAAGGCTCCAGTTATATATTTTTAAAATTATTTTTCCCATTCTCATATCCAGTGTGACTTGGGTTCCGACTTAAAAATTTATATCAAAACATTCCAAACTAATGTTAAGAATATTTATAGTCAAATAAGATTGAAAATGCTATTTATCAGATTAAACTGCCTTAAACTAAAGAAAGTTTATGAATTCTGATAAGTTTTTGGTTAATATGATGAAATAAAAGCTCATGACTTTGGAAATTTCAGTTATAAGAAATGTTATTTATTTAAATATTAGGCTCTTCTGTTTGCCAGGTATCAATACTCTAACTCAAGTTATCACTAGTAGTAGAGAGTTGATTTTAAGGATATAAGTAAGATCTTGGGAACCCACCAACCCACCCCATAGGGCTTCAAGGAGAAAAGGAACTAGAAAGAAGGTTCTAGAAATGATGCTGTTGTAGGATATTCAACAGCAAGAGTTTGTGGTCTCCTCTCCCTTCTTCCATTACATTTCTTCTCTATTGTACAGCTGTCCTTACACAGAGTTTTCCCCTCTGCTCTCTTTGGGTTTAACATGGTTTATTGTGGGCTCTCATGTGATTCATGAACGTTTTAGCTTTAGCTCCTGCTACCATTCTCTGAGTTTAGATTTCTAAGTGATCTGATTGGTACAGCTAATTAATGACATAGGTCATAGCCAATATGAGTTGACAGCCCCTGGGTTAGATGCCAACTCCTGTCCCAGTCAGCTGTCCTAAGATAGAAAGAGGAAATACAAAAGGAAACAGCATCATGTAGAGTTCCTCTTCAACTCTAAATATAGGCAGTCTGCCTTCAGACTCTTAATTGATTTCTATGTGGGACAACAGTATGGACCAGCATTTGCCCAGCAAGGAGAAGAGCCACTAGAAAAGCATCAGCCAAATGCTTATGGGCAAGATATGGTCACTTACTGCTACAACTATTGATCATTTAGCTACAACTAGCTAAAAGTGGCTTCACAAATAAGGAAGTATGTAAAATGCATTTCTGATTACTCAGAGACCTCCGATACTAGTTTATTTTGTCCTGTTCCACCAAAATAGGAAGGAGATGGATCTCACTTTGCCTTAGGAGGCTGTATGTGTGTATGTGTATATGAATGTGTGTATATGCGTATATGAATGTGTGTATATGCACATTTAAAAAGAGGCATTATTTTGTGATGGTATGTTTTCCTAGTTTTACCTTTCCTTTTGTTTATATTGTTTTTTTCTTCTGATACTTGAGTATGGTAGGATTTCTTACCTTAAATCATGTCACAAGGCTTTCTCCCATAGGCATCTGCAAAACAATGAGGAATATTTCCTCTCTGTATCCTGGTCACTGCATGCCCTCCAGCCAAGTAACCAAACACAGGCATCATGCAGATAGTCTGTGAAACTTGGGCCCTGGAAGTAGCTAGGAAGACCTTTTGTCATAATGTCTAAGTTTCTGTGGCTTCAAAGAAGGACTAAGAGCTGCTGTTTTTAAAAGTTTGGCTCTTGTGGGTTCTAGAAGTACTTTGTGTTAATGGATAAGAGACTCCTGGGTAAGGACAAAAAAGGGAAGAAGGAAGAAAAGAGAGAGGAAGGGGGAAAGGGAGGAAAGGAGGGGCAGAAGCGGGGAAAGAGAAAGAGAGGGAGGGAGTCTGTCCTGCATTTGTCAGCTCAGTTGGTTTATAGGCAAACAGCCTGGTAGTTAGTAATAAAGCATCTAGAATATTGCCCAGAAAAAAATATTTTCTATCATCTTTTGCTACTACGTCCTTGACACTATCAACGACAAACATAACAAAATGTGTCAATGGCATCATTGTCTCCACATTATAATTTCTAATACCATTTTTGCTCTGGTTCTAATGATTTATTGATTTCAGGTAGCAAAGGTTTATAGGGAATGCTTCTATGTATCATTGTACAGCCACTGCTGTTACTTCTAGCTTTGCTTTTATGATAAGGTCTATCAGATGGTTGATTAAAAAACATCTAACTAGAGTAAGCATATAAAACAAGATACAGATATATAATTAAGGGGAAAAAGAAGCTAGAGGTTAAAGCTAAATATTCCTAAGTCTTTTATTTAGGATCTGAGTTCAGCTGCTTCTGACATGGTTTAAACAAGATGGCTTATTTTTTTTTCATGTAAAAAATATGAATGTTTAGTGGAGTTGTCATGGGCCAGGTACCCGCCATGGTTCAGCTATTCCTAGGGTGATGTGTTACCACTATATCTATATTCCATCCAGTTATGTGTTAAAAATGAGAAGAGGAAGGGGAAAACAACTTTGTTTTCAGAAGTTGTACACATCTTTACTCACGTGCTGTTGGCTAGAATATAGTCCTGTGGCCAGATTTAGTGATATAGGATACTGAAAAATGTAATGTTTAATCTTAGCAAACTGTGTATCCAGGTAAAAATTTTGTTACTAAGGAAGAAAGAGAGAATATTTGGAGACAGTTTTAAGAATCTGCCACACCAGAGTGCTATCTATATATTTAATATTAAATTAAGAATTAGCAAATCAATATAGTTAATATTCCTGAGTTTGAGTGAGATATTTAAGTTTGTATAAACATCCACGTGATTTACAATTTCATTTTTATTTATATTACACAAAGAAAATAGAATTTTCTGTGTTATTTCTATAATCTTCCTTTTATAGATATGAAAAATTTAGCTAGAGTTTAAGGAGTGATGGGATCACAATTAGAATCTAAATATTCTCACTCAATATATTGAGGTCTCATTTTCACTATGGTGGGCTTCTCTGTTCCATATACTTCAAAAGACTGCTCTGAAGCTAAAATGAGATCATGTATATGGAATCACATTGAACTAGAAATTGGAACCATGTATATAACATAGTATAAATTTTGCATGAATTTATATAATTCCAATTTCTTTTTCTTAGACACTGTTGGAAGCTCTGACTGTGGCCTTTGCTGGTAAGCCATAATTGTGCTTCTGTATGTCATACTTACTTTTTAAAAAATTTGTGAACTTTATTTTATTTTTAATTTTTGAAATTTATTTCTTAGCCCTGACTGGCGTAGCTCAGTGGATTGACTGCGGGCTGCGAACTAAAATGTCACAGATTCAATTCCCAGTCAGGGTACAAGCCTGGGTTGCAGGCCATGACCCCCAGCAACCGCACATTGATGTTTCTCTCTCTCTCTCTTTCTCCCTCCCTTCCCTCTCTAAAAAATAAATAAAATCTTTTTAAAAATTATTTCTTAAAGATTATATTTACAGTATTTATTTTTAGAGAGGGGGGAAGGGAGGGAGAAAGAGAGGAAGAGATACATTAATGTGTAGTTACCTCTCACACACTCCCTACTGGGGACCTGGCCTGCAACCCAGGTGTGTGCCCTGACTGGGAATCGAACGGGCAACCCTTTGGTTTGCAGGCCAGGCCAGCACTCAATCCATTGAGCCATACCAGCCAGGGCTACACTTACTTTTTAATGTAGATAAATATTCTGGGTAAAAAGATATTTGGGGCTAAATCTGAACATCATGGAGTATTATATTTCAAAAATATGGCAGAGGATGAAGAATTTCTAAAATATAAGCAAAAATTAGATGTTTAAACTTTCCATATTCAGCTGAGCTTAGAGGAAGCGCAAAAGAATTAGAAAAATAGGAATGGAAAACAATATTCAGTTATGTTTATCCATTTATAAAAATAAGACACCCATAGCTAATCTTTTCCCTAACTTAAAGGGATCTTAGAGGAGCTGATAACATGTTTTGAGTCATGTACTTTCATCACAGCTCAGCCTCTTAAATTGCCTGCATCATACTATGTTTTTTATTATATCCTCATATTTTATCAAAACAAAAAAGCTAGTAATTTCTGTTTTGTATTTGGTGTTAAATATGTGTTTGAAAGGAAGTGTCTGCTATAATTACTCAATGTACCCTATGTAATGCCTCAAGTGAAATATTTCATGATTTGTTAACAATTTAAAACATTATCTCAAAATGATTAATCTGGAGAATCAAAAGGGTCAGCATTAACTGTTACTATCAATAAATTGTTAATCCTTATGGTTAATATAGTTATCTATTTTATCAGTACTTTTTAAATCTTTCTGTGCTAGTTTATTGAATCTATGTATTCCACCTTTTTATAAATGAATCAGATAATAAGAAAATAATAACTACTAAAATAAATAGGACTGAAATTTCACACCACAGGAAGTATTATTATTTACTTATTGTTAGTATTATTATCTATTCTGTATTATTAATGTTATTATCAAGTCTAGCTCTGCCCTCCCTGACTCCCACCATTTGTAAGGGATGTAGAAAAGAGGTTTATTTCATGGTTATTAGAACTGGGGTAGAAATACATAGGTGGGATAATTTGAGAACATCATTTTCCTCATTATGATAATATCTTTCCACATAATTGTATACTGAAATTACTGACAAGAAGCAAAAGTGATTTCACGTTTTATCTTATGCATTCACCTTCCTAATCCTGTAATGGCATAAATAGAAGAATTCTAATAATGTAGCACTTAGAATAGAAAGAACTTGGATAATTAATCCCTGACAAATTAAAAATAACTTAAATGATTTTGGGTTCAAAGCAGTTAACTTCCTTTAAAGAGGTTATAATTTATCATAAATTTATCATTTAATGATAAATTTAATCACTTAACATTTGATATCATTTATCAAAATGTTAACCAGTTGCATTGCATTAGCCATAGTAAATCCAGAATATCATTCTAAATTATGCAAGGAAATTTGGTATACAGTGTACTCTGAGATACTGCAGATTTGGATATAAGGCAAATAGTGGTTGGTTTCTGTTCTCTGCAGGGTTGGTGAATGGCACACAATGCGAAATAGCTCCAATATTTTTCTTGCCCAATTTCTTTGATTTGGGCTGATGAACTTGGTGCAGTTAACCAGGTGATTGCTAGAACTGCTGTATCCAGGAATGCCCAGCCAGCCACAGTACCCAGAATCATCCCTATTGATATCTAAGCCATAATGGACAATCACTACAGATAAACTGCAGCTGTAACAGGGATTGGGTGAGAATCAGTCCACCATATCCCTAAATTCCTAACTGGCTAGCTATATAATCTCTGGTCATTTCTTTAATTTCATAATAATGTGACTTCCTTATTTTGTATTAATGAATACTTTGGAGCCTATTGCATTATGGGTGTGGTTTTACTGTATCAATTAATATTCAAGGCTAAATAAGGAATCTTTTCATAATTGTTTTTATTGCCAAGTAGCACAGTTAAAAGCATTTCATTTAAGTCCTAGAAAAAGCTATTTTACATTATGTTTATATGAATGTTTAATCAGTATTTTTCACTTTTACAGTTACTTTGTATGATGTGTATATTATTCTGCAAGCTTTTGTACTGACTACTGCAGTATTTCTTGGTTTGACTATGTATACTCTACAATCTAAGAAAGATTTCAGCAAATTTGGAGCAGGGTAAGTTACATATTCATGGCTATGATAGCTACCTTTAATATTATAGATAGTTTTGAGAGAAGTGCTATACTGTCTTTTAAAGTGGAGTGTAATGAAAGGTCATCTCTATGAGTTCTAGGACCTGGCCCTACTCTCCCAGAATATCCAAAGACATGAAAAGTGGCTTTGAATCATTTCCTTCCTCTCTATCTTGAAAGGGAAGTAAATGCTGCCCCTGCCTCCCCCCCCAAAAAATCAGGTTTCCAGAGAGTCTAGGCTTGTGTTCTTTATGAATTTTATGAATGGTATGGAATTTACCTATATTATTTAGGTCTTTGTTTTAACATAAATGTTACCAAGACCATCCACATCTTTGTGGTAAAAGCAAGAGTTTGGAGGTGTCTTTATGAACCTTAAAGTCTTTCGATCCATTTGATTAACCTGTATCTTTCTTCAAACTAATAGATACATGGAATGATCCTTTTTATATTACGATAATGGTACTTTGTTGCCCTCACTTGTTAAGAATGAATACTCTTTAAGCTCATCCTGGCTTCCTGTTGGCACATAATCAGGCAACCATTTTCTGTTCTTTTTCCTGTTACAACACTAAAAATTTACAAAAGTGTGGTCTTGCAAAACTTTCTTTTCTCTCCCTTTTTTTCCTGGTTATCCAGATTACCAGAAATCTCTGGTGGGATAAAATATAGTTGGTTAGGCAACACTGATAATTGTGCAACATGCATATAGTTTTATTAAAATGGAGTTTGATTTAGGGGCAGGTAGTATTTTTTACTCTTATTGGGGGGGGTGTTTCATACATATTTGTGGCTCTATATGATGAAAGATTTGCTCTTTGCTTCGTCCTGTCCCAGTCTCTAACTGCCCCACTTCTTCCCCATCCATTCTACTATAGTCTCTAGAATTCCTTCCTGGTATTGGGTTAGCTGAAAAGTCCGTATTTTTTTTTCTGTAAATTAAAAGATACATTAAAAAAATAATAAAATAATAAAAAATAATTGAAATAAAATAAACACTTGAACAACAATTAAAATAAAATAAAAAATAAAAGACACATTCTTCATTTTCACCAATAACTTTATTGATTTGGATATTTTGAGTATGTCAGTTATATCCCGCAATGTATAATATTGATTGTTCTCAATTAATGTCTCAATTTGACTGCTGTCAACTTCACCTGGTCTACTAACCACGATGGAGCTTCATGCAACAAATCTCCAGCATGAAACTTCACAAACCAGTTTTGACATATTTGATCGGTCACAGCACCTTTTCCATACACTGCATAAATCTTTTTTTGCATTGCAGTTGTGTTTTTACCTTTCTTGAAATAATAAAGCATAATATGCCGAAAATGTTGCATTTCTCCCATCTTCAATATTAAAATGGCTACACAAAAATTCACCAGTTTTGATGTTTTTTTTTAAATGCATGCTGATATGACAGCTGTCACAGTACAATCTAACAAAATTGTTCTAGTGAAATTAAAGACAATTAAGCATTACTAGAGCCATCTTAGAAAAAACAAACAAACAAACAAACAAACAAACAGATTTTTCTGTAAGATGGAGAATCCGTAAGTTGGGTAGAATTTTTTGGCCAACCCAAGAAATAATCTCCCCTATATTTCCATCTCTTCGTAATATCTTCTTTCTTCTTCCTTATCTCAGATGAAATTTGATTCCTCTCTGAGAACTATTCTCTAGCTGTTCCTTCTTCAACTCAGTGGTGGGGGTTAGTGTTGAAAACTGCTTCTGTTCCCTGGTGCCACTTTTCATCATCCCTTCAGCATAATAGAAATTCATTACTTTAAGGCTTATGCTTTCTGGTGGTACACTTCCTATCCTTCCTCATTACTGTCATTGATCCCCTTGTTGGTCAAGCCTCCCTCTTTTTTGAAGACCTTAGCATCAAACTACATGTTAGGCCCATCCATCAGCTTTGCCTCTCAGTATCTCTGAACCTCTTCTACCGCAACAGTTTTCATTTGCCTGCCATCGCCACTTTGTGGACCTTACCATCACTAGGTATTGTTCCATTGGTGAAATCTTAAATGCCAGTGTCCCACTTTCTTTCTTCAGCCTTCTGTCCTTCTCTCTCTTGAATTTCTTTACTTCCACAACACCATTCTATGGTGCCTGTTCTTCAGCTACTGTTATTGTCATAATAAACTGTCCTTCATTTCAGACCTAGGAGTCTCATGTGTCCTATTAGCTTTCATGAAATTGTGCCAGGCTAACTCATTAGTTTCTAAGGCAAAATTTCAGATGATCTGTAGTTCTTAATCTCACCTTCCCATACTTCTTGGTGTAGAAGCTCTGGAGTTTCCCCAGGGTTTAAGTATGTAAAAGCAAGTCCTGATTCCCTTTCAATCTTGAAGGATCTATGCTATGAGGTGGTAAGATACTTCATTCTAACTTATGTGTGCCAGATGTATCCTGACAAGTTTTGTGGCCATTTCACCAAGAGAGCTGAGGACTGGAATCTCACCATACCCTCAGTTCACTACACTGAATTATAATACATATATTTAATTTATTTAGTTCTGTTGTTAAAGAACATATTTTAAATGATTTTAGTCCTTTTGCATTTACTGAGATTCATTTTATAGTATCGGGGTTAATATCCTTTGTGTACTAGAAGATGTATATTTTGCTGTTGAATGACTAAAAAGTGTCAAATAGGTCAAGTTGCTTGATAGTATTGTTCAAGCCTTCTGTATGCTTACTTATTTTCCACCCACTTATTCTATCAATGTAAAAGTGGTACTAAATTCTCCATCTGCAAGTGTGGACTGGTTATTTTCTCCTATCAGTTCTATGACTTTACTTCATGTTATTTGATGTACTCTTTTTAGGTGCATAAACATTTAGGACTGTTATGTCCTTTTTGTATATGTGTCTTAGCATTTCACAGATGTTAATGCTTATTAAGTAACCTAACACTGGGCTCCCATGGGCATAACCTCTGCACAGTGTCAATGCAAAGAAACCATCAGCCAAGTTTAATTTTAACTAAGTCCACAGTTCTTTTTTTACATTTTTTTATTATTGTTCAATTATAGTTGTCCCCATTTTCTCCCATTACTCTCCCCTGCCCTGCCCACTGCCTCCTCATATTAATACTTTCCCCAGCTTTGTCCTTGTCCATGGGTCCTTTATACATGTTCCTTGACTTGACCCTTCCCCTTCTTTTCCCCATTTTCCACCTCCCGCCTCCCCCCTGGTCACTGTCAGTTTGTTTTTCCTTTTAAAGACCCTTTTATCATTATGAAGGGGTCATCTCTGGTAATATCCTTGCCCTAAAATCTACTTTGTTAATGTAGCTACCCTAGCTTTCTTTTGATTGTGTTAGCATGGTATATCTTTTTGTTTGTCCTATCTGTTCCTTGATCCTCTTTTCCTCTTCTACTCTTTTGGGTTGTTTGATTCTATTTGTCTACTTTATGGTTAATAGCTATAGCTCTTTTAAATAGAAGCTGCTCGAGGTTTTACAGTGTACATGTTTACATTATCACAGTCTACCTTCAAATAACATACCATTTTATGTATAGTATACTTATTGCTGTTCTCCCCTACCTTTGTACCATAACTTGTTGTTCTACATATTATAAACCTTATAATACATTGTTAATAATTTGGCTTTAAACATTAAATTATCTTTTTAAAAGATATGAAAAATAGATGACTTTTATGTTCATCCACATATTTACCATTGCTGTTCTCCATGTCTTTGTATAGACCTAATTTCCATCAAATGTTTTCCTTCTGCCTGTGGGATTTCCATTTAACACATCTTATGGTGCTGGTCTGGTCTCAGCTTTTGTATGTTTGAAAAAAATCTTTATTTTACTTCTGTTTTTGAAAGTTATTTAATTTTCTTTATTTATTTTTTGTACTTTAAAGATGGCACTCCCCTGCATTCTGGCTTGTGTAGTTTTGGACAGGAAGTTTGCTGTCTTTCTTATCTTTATTCCTTTGTACATGTTTTTTTTTTTTTTAAATCTCCTAGCTACCTTTAAAATTTTCTTAGTCATTTCATTAATATTTTCAGTAATTTGACTATGATATTCCTGGTATTTTTTTCTCTGCTTCTAGGATATATCAGTTTAAACTTTTCATCAATTTTTGAAACGTTTTTGGCTGTTATTTCTTCAGATACTTTTATGTTCCCCTTTTTCCTTTCCATTGAGACTCCAATGACGTATATGTTAGACTTCTTTTTTTTTTTTTTAAAGATTTTATTTATTTTTAGAGAGGGAAGGGATGGGGGGGGGGAGAGAGAGAGAGGGATAGATAGATAGATATCAATGTGCAGTTGCTGGGGGCCGTGGCCTGTAACCCTGGCATGTGCCCTGGCTGGGAATCGAACCTGCAACACTTTGATTCGCAGCCCGCACTCAATCCACTGAGCTACGCCAGCCAGGGCTTAGACTTCTTAATGTTGTTCCACAGTTCACTGATGCTTTGTTCATTTTTTTCTAGTCGTTTTTCCTCTGTGATTTTTGGTTAGTTTCTGCAGCTGTAATGAAGTTCAATAATCATTTCTTTCTCAGTGTCTAATCTGCTATTAACCCCAGTCAGAGTATTTCTCATTTGACATACTGTATTTTTTAGTCTATGGAAATTCAGTTCCATTTGTATTTTTTAACTGTATTTCTTTCACTTTTCTCATGATGATGCTTTCCTTTATATCCTTGAACTTATGGAGTATATTTTTAATGTCATTGTCTACTAATTCTATTTTTGTGTCACTTCTAAATTTGTTTCTATTTTTTAGTGTATATATTTATATATATAAATGGTATCGTACAACTTTAGCAGTGGCAAATTTATGTACATAATTTCTATAATACATTAGAATAAAATAGAGAATACATTTGGGAACTTTAATAGATATGCATATTCACAGAATAATCTGTTATTTGGTTTAAAATGCAATTACTTTTTATTTGTTCATGTATGTATTTTCTAGAAGTTTTATAGATTTCTGTTAAAATACTTCTAATTTATTTCTACTTAAATCAGAATTTTCTTTGCATTTCATTTGAAACCTTTAAAAATTGACACTCTTCACTAGTTTTGTATACCATTTTAACAAGTGTTGAATAGACAGCTGTTCTTTCAATTTCTGGGTATTCTACAGTATTCATTGTATGTTTATGAATTCATACATTTAAATTATTTTTTGACAAATATCAGGATGCATTTATTTCTTGAGAAAATATTGAATGGGTTTACAAAATTTTTTATAAGGAACAATATTCTAAATTATTAATATTTTGTTTTTATAGACTATTTGCTGTTTTGTGGATTCTTTGTTTGTCAGGAATCTTGAAGGTGAGTTGTTTCAGAATAGTAACTTAAAATATAATTCTAGTCATCTCAATATAAATAATCTCAAAAAGCTATGTAAGGTATATTCTTATGATAGGACACTTGGTTATAATTATCTGAAATATTTGTATATAGAGTGAGTATAAAATTATCTTTTGAAAAATCAAGGTCTTATGTTAACATCATTGATTGAAAAAAAAGATGGACAAATGAGTTAAATTACACAGAAAGTAGCCCTCATTTGTAATTGCTAACTTCCAAGTGGCACATGCAATTATGAAAAAAATATTTAATATTTGGGATGCTACTGTTCAAAGTCAAGTGGGTAATTTAATAGGGGATTATCCATTGATTCATCCATTCATTCTTTCATCCAACAGAAGCCAGAGTGGACCTGCTCTGCCTTTCTCTGCTTTTAACATTTGTATTCAAAGTTGTACAACATTATTAAATATATATGTAGCATATGTCACAAGAGCAAGTAACTTAAGTGTTTAATAGGGTTCTTTAATACAAACGTACTATTTTAATCTTTTGCCTACAGTTATTTTTTTACAGTGAGACAATGGAATTGGTTGTGGCTGCTGTAGGAGCCCTTCTTTTCTGCGGGTTCATCATCTATGACACACACTCACTGATGCATAGGCTGTCACCTGAAGAGTATATATTAGCTTCCATCAGCCTCTACTTGGATATCATCAATCTATTCCTGCACCTCTTGCGGTTTTTGGAAGCAGTTAATAAAAAGTGATTGAAAGCAGTATGTAGAAACTAATTCATTCATAAGAAGTGACTGCAAGTAGGATACAGAAACTGATTCATTAATAATACTTTATTACTGACTCAGTGATAAAGTTAGAGACATAATTGACTATTCAATACTTTTATTAATTTATTGTGTGCTCTGTACTTCAGAGCTATTACTATAATACAGCAGGTTCTTGGATAATGTCATTTCATTCAATGTCATTTCATTATAATGTTGGTGAGAAAAAAAAATTGATTCCCAGCCAAGGCCACTGTTGGTGTGATGTTTGAAAATTCTCCCTATGTCTGCATGAGCTTTCTCCAGGTACCCTGGTTTCCTTCCACATCCCAAAGATGTACACATTTGGTGAACTGGCACATCTCAGTTGTCCCAGTCTGAGTGAGTGGGAGTATATATATATGTGCTTCCTGAACCTTGAGCTGCTGAGTAGGCTCCACTACCCACCACTCTAGAGAAGTGGGTCAGAAAATAATGATATTACTTGTTTTTATTGATCTTTCTTAAATTTATAACTCACATTTATTTCAGTGTTTAATATTACAAGTGTTTTGGGTCTGTATTTAAAAGTTTGGTGTGCTTTTGTGACCAGAAATATGCCTACAGTAAAAATTGGTTTTGTTATATATGTTGTTTTGCTTAAAGTTGCAGTTTCCAAGAACCTATTGATGACATTAAATGAGGATTTACTGTATAACAATCTAATGTAATATACACATAATGTAATATAATATATAATGTAATATAACATTAACTACAACTATATTACTATTATATGACTAATTATATGTAAGATATAACAATAAAATATTAAATATATAATTACTAGGTTATATAATAGTAATATAAATCTTACTGTCCTTTATGGTATCTCATTTCTAAATCCTTGATTTAGAATCTCAAGTATGAGGGATATCAAAAATCTTTAAAAATTGTTTTCAATCCTGAATTTGCCATACATACATTGTTCATCTGAAATTCAAGAATAATTTAATGAGCCCTGGCTGGCGTAGCTCAGTGGATTGAGCGCAGCTGCGAACCAAAGCATCGCAGGTTCAATTCCCAGTCAGGGCACATGCCTGGGTTGCAGGCCACGGCCCCCAGCAACTGCACATTGATGTTTCTCTCTCTCTCTCTCTCCCCCCGCCCCCTTTCCCTCTCTAAAAATAAATAAATAAAATCTTAAAAAGAATAATTTCATGAGATTAGATTACAAATATCAATTTATCTTTGTCTAATGGTTTCATCTAATTTTTCCTTTAAATAACAGTAGATTGGATTTTGATTTTAAAGTACTTGTGTCCTTACCAATATAAATTATAAATCTCCTTTTACAAGGAGATTTTAATCTTATTTAGAAAAGAAATATTATAAAAGATAAATTCAAAAGAGAATTAGTTATATAAAAATGTTAATGACGCTTCATTATAAAGTATATTAAAAATTAGAAGCCTGCTTTAAAGTCAGATATTTTGACATAAAATTTGACATTGTTAATTTTCTTAAGTGCAGGTTTCATTTTAAAATTATAGCAGTGAACTAAGGGCCAGTGAAACTTTGGCAAATTTCCTCACTGTATTAGTTTGTTAGGGCTGCCCCAACAAAGTTCTACAGACTGGGTGGCTTAATCAGAAATTTATTTTCTCTGTTCTGAAGGCTGGAAGTCCAAAATGAAAGTGTTGGCAGGGCTGGTTTCTCTGAGGCCTCTCTCTTGGCTTATAGATAGATAGTCATATTCTCCCTGTGCCTTCACATGGTCTTCTCACTGTACTTGTCTGTGTCCAGATTTCTTCTTAGAAGGACACCATCATTAGATTAGGGACCCCCAGTGACTGCATGTTGCCTTAATTAACTATGTAGGACCCCATTTCCAAGTACAGTCACATTGTGAGATACTAGGGGTTAGTACTTTGCAGTGGTCTGATCTGTTTGTGTCCCACAAAATTCATATGTTGAAAGCTAATGCCCAGTGTGATGGTTTCAGGAGGTACAGCTTTGGGATGTGACTAGGTCAGGAAGGTAGAGCTTTCATGAATGGAATTAGTAAAAAAAGAGACTCTATAGAGATCTCTTACCCCTTCTCCCATGTGAGGTTACAGTGAAAAGACATGTAGTCTGTGACCCGGGAAGAGGGCCTTTACCAGAGATCAGATCTGCCGGCACCTTGATCTTGATCTTTCCTACCTCCAGAATTGTGAGAAATAAATTTCTGTTGCTTATAAATTACCCACTCTCTACTACTTTGTTATGGCAGCCCTAATAGACTAAGATAGACTTCATCATATGATTGGGGGAGGAGCCCATAACACTCACTAAGCATAATTTTTTTTCAGCTGTCAAGTTGAAATAAATTAGAGCAATATGGAACCCTGGTGAGGTGGCTTAGTTGGCTGAAGCATCATCCATGCACCAAAAGGTTGCATGTTTAGTCCCCACTTGGGGCATGTACAAAGGCAACTGATCGTTGTCTCCTTCCCTGTGCCCTTCCTTCTTTTCTCCCTCCTTTCCCTCCTTCCTTCCTCCTTTTCTTTCTTTTCTCTCTCTCTCCCCATCCCCCACCCTTCCTCTATCTTTAAAATCAATAAACATATCCTCCAGTGAGGATTAAAAAAAACTTAGAAAAAATTTAGTAGTATGTAATTAGGTTCAAGTTTTAGATGTAAAATTGACTATCATTATCAATTAATTAGTCATTGAATATATAATTGCACTAATGCTGTACTTAAGTTCAACACGGCATAGTGGGCAAGAGCATATAGATTAGAATCATTGCTGTGCAATTAACTGATGTAGCCTTTGGCAAGTTATTTATCCTTCCATACTTAGGTCTTTTGCAGCATCTTTATAAGGGTATAATAGTACCTATTGTACTGGCTGATACATGAATTAAATGAGATAGTTATAGCATATAAACTAAGAGGTTAGTTAATGTCAGCTGCTATTATTAATAATTTTTTCAGTTCAAAGGTAGAATGTACTGAATTGGAAGTAAAGATACTAAATAAGCAAAAGCAGATTTGACACTTCAAAAATGTAAAACAGTGCCACTGTTCTCAGTAAATTTTTTTTTTTTTGGTTTTGGTAATACAGTTTTTTAAATTAAAATGTAGACATGTAATTAATCTTTCTAAAATGACACATTTTCAAAAATTAATTTTTGGTGGGACAAATATTGTAATTTCTAAGAGTGTAAAGAGATCAAAAGACGAAGAAGTTTGGAAACCCCTGGTGTAGACTTGGAGTGGTGAACACACAACACAGTGTACAGATGATGTGTTGCACAGTTGTGTACCTGAAACCTGTATAAGTTTGTTAACTAGTGGCACACCAATAAAGTTAATAAAGAAAAAAAGCACTGGTGTAGAGTATTATGTTTTATAAATGAACAATAGTTATTCATACATTCTTCTATCATTGAATTTTATATGGTTCCTCCTTTTTTTACCATCATTCTCAGTCCTGCTCTGATAAGAGAGTTTGCCCAGGAAAGAAACATACCTGTAAGCAGAACTACTGGATAAAAGAGTGTGTGCAACTTCAGTTTTTTACATCAAGTGAAGATGAAACTATGCAGACTCCAGACATACTAAAAAAAAAGTGTAATCAGAAGGACTTAGAATGATAGGCAACTCTGATGCAAGGTACAAAATGGTAGCCAGAGAGATAGGAAGAAAACTAGGAAAAAGCAGTATTGGAGAACTGTTTTCACTGAGTGGAATTTGGGGGAAGAGGTGCAGCAGACCCTGTCTACCTGCCTTCATTTCTTCTCAAGCCTGGCTTTGATCCACTTGATGCATTGGGCATCAGTGGTGTCAGCAGCCAGCTGTGGACCTTTTGGAGTAGCTGGGAATTTAGGTTCTTTTCGCTTGTTCTTTTCATGTAGGAGTGTCCAACCTGTGGCCCCTGGGGCTGCATGCGGCTCAGGATGGCTGTGAATGTGCCCAACACAAAAATGTAAATTTATTTAAAACATGAGATATTTTTGTGATTACGTTTTGCAATGTAATTAATGTGTGACCTAAGAAAACCCTTCTTCCATTGTGGCCCAGAAAAGCCAAAAAATTGGACACCCCTTGGTAGAGCTTTGTCTTGAAGTTCCCATCATCTAGGGCCTGGGTAACATGGAGTCACCCTCTGAACCCCAGAAGTCTTCCTGGTTTTTATTCAGTGATTATGCAGATCAGGGCTTCCATGGAAGAGCCCTGACTGCAGGGGCCCCACTGGCTGGTGTCCATAGTGTTAGTATTCCATTTAAATGGAGAAGCAGCCTACTTCTTGTCAGGTACCCAACTGTGCTTCCAGTCCCACAGGCTCCATTCAGCTCTGCGAGGGAGCAAGAAGCAATGTCCAGTTTAGTCCTTAAGCCTTGTCCCTCCATTAGGGGTTAAAGTTTCCTGAAGACTGTGGTTTGGTTTCCTTCATCTTTGTATACCCAGCATAGTGCCTATCACAGAGTACACACACCCAGATGTTTGACAAAGGGAATTAATTAAGGATTTTTTAAATATACCAAGGCCATTTATTCTGTTAGAACAGCTTTTATACAAACTGCTGAGGAACTTAGGTTAAAATGTTTTTTTCCAATAATGCAGTCTAAAATTCAGTTTTTTAAAACATTAGTAAATGCTGAATTATGGCACCAAGACATTATCATAAGTCTTTTTTTCTCTTTTCTGGTGCCAAATGTCTATTCAAAAGCCTTGGCCTGGTATATTAAGCAAGGAGCAGTCAATTTGGATTAGTTAAAAGTGAGCTTTCTCAAATTTAAAATGCAGTGTGAACATTTATTTTTGGAAGAAGTGGCTAAGTTCTAATATATGGTTAACTTGTAAAATAGAAACTCACTTGCTCTATAAGAATTTAATGTATTTAAAGAAAGTAGGTCTCTCTGGAATGTTGGGAACCGCCCTGACTGGTATCAGAAGCTGAAACCCCCGCCTAGCTAAGGCTAAGGGAACGCCCTTGGAACCGTGAGCCGGCAAGGAGATAAAAGCTTATCTCCCTGGCAGGAATGCTGCTTCTGCTGCTGAACCCCAAAAAGCTTGGTCGGTTAGCCAAAGACGGGTAAGATTCCCCACGGGGGGAACAACCCAAGCCAGGCACAATCACTTTGGGAGGCCCCCAAAAGAAGGACTTGGGGGGCTGCAGCAAAAGGGGGTGATGGACCCTCACTCCTCGGCTTTGACAAAGCCTGAGTCAGCGTCCGGAAGAAAATCTCCTTATCTCTCGGTGGCCTTAGTTCCCGCGCTCCACCTAAGCCTGAAACAATGACAGGGTGGTGCAGCTCGGTACTGGGAAGTGCGGATTTCCCGGGGTGATCAGGCCTAAGAAAGAACATGTAAATTACTGTGAAACCTTCTTTGTTTAGAACGCTCTCAGTTGAATGAGAAGGGTCTTAGGAGGAAGTTATTTTGTTCCTCAGCCTTACAGCTCTTTGACCCCCAACTCAATAGACGGGCAGAGTTCTTTGTTTTCTATAGTTCCCTACTTCCCCTAATGAGTGCTGTACTTTACCTGAATTATTATGCAGGATGAGCCTAATAAAAGCAGGTATGGACGGTAAATCAGCGCGCTCCCCACTAGGGGGGGTGGCCATTCTGTCCCTACTTCCCCACAGAAACTAGTTTGTCTCTGTGCATGTTGTTATTTCTCGCGTGTTTATCGTCGAGCCATCCACAGCGTTCCGTGGTCACTGCTAGCCGGTGACCCACGCGCAACACTGGAATGCTTTTTATATACATATGTACATATATACATGTATATACATAGCTCTTTTCAGCTGTCAAGAAAAATTCAGTACATTCTGAATTTACTAATTTCCATATGATGCAAAGTTCCCAAAAGGACATGGATTTACAGAAAAAAGGTACCCACAAATTGTCTTAATAAGAACTCTATTAGCAACCAGGCAGGAATTTACTAGGCCATCATGAAAGATGATACATTTACTTATTTTTCATGTTGTAAGTCTCTAAAAAACATCCCTGAGGAATAGTATTGTTCTTTGTTTGAATTGTAATGTAAAAAGAAAGCCCTAGGAAGAACTGAGTTCATGTCACCTACCTACGGATCAATTAGGTTGTATTAGGTTCTTTCAAGAGACAAGAATTATCCAGGCTCTGAGACATTAATTACCAATATCACAAAGAAGTGTTGGAGTCAAAAGTACATCACAGACCTGTGTGGTTACATATTAGGAGCATATGTAAAATAATTAAAAGCACTAGTGTTGTTTGTGACCAATGTGACTATCACCTAAGACAGCTGTCCTAAGTTTAGCACCTTATGGCATACATTACTAATTAGCCAGGTAAACATTGGTTAAACCGAATTAGTTTGATCATTTTACCCTTTGAACTTGTCTTTTGGATGGGCAAGGCTTTTTTGTTTTGGTTATATATACCTCTTCTTTGAAGTATAACTGACATAACAATAAATTGCACATACTTAAAGTGTACAATTTGTTAAGTTTTGACAGACGCACAGATTCATGAGACCATCACCCAAAATGGGAAAATGTAATTAAGGGATGCAATAAAGACGATCTCAATTCGGCCTCTCGGTCTAAGGAAATCCATTAGATTTGTGTGAAGGTGTGAGCTAAAGGTCGGCTCTGAGCTCCCTACCTGACAGGCTGGGTCAGCTGGCCAGTCACTCCTAGAGTTAAAACCTCAGGGGAACCCGCTGGGCTGGCCCCCAACCTCCGCTGGGATTCTCTTCCGCATTCTTCAAATTCAATTTAGCGACCGGTTTGGGAAGAGCCAGACTCCAAAATCTGCACATGCTCCAAAGGCAGGAAGCGCGTTCGTCGCCGAACTCCAGGAGACCCCGCCTCTAGGCTTCCCGGGACACAGGGCTCCCGGCATGCAATGCGCGGGGGGGGGGGCGGGAGAGGTTAGTTGTGGCAGGCCGGAAGACGGAAGTGAGGAGACTTCCGGTTGTCGTGCTAGTGTGGACTGTGAGTGGTGATCCTTTTCAGGTGAGTTGGTGTCCAGCGGGGCGTGGGTCTTGCGCCTGATTCTAGCCTCTCGTAGAGAAACTTGTTTGTAGAAACTTGTGTCGTAAAGAAACCTGGTCCATCACTGGACAAGCTTGAGCCCGACCCAGAGACAAGCCTCTCGTGAGGGCGAGGGTTTCTCATGGCCTTGGTGGCTACCCTTGGGCTTCTCCGTGCTCTCTGCGAACTGAAGTTCTCCCTTCGTCTTCTCACTCGGGTGAACCTCTACCCTGAAGGTTGCTTAGCGAAATGCTTCTAATCCCGCCGCTTCCAGGGCTTGTGTTGTTGTACACAAGAAGACAGTGAGTTTGTTATTGCTGGCGTCCAAAAAGAAATGTTACTTCAATAGTCATTAATTCAACAAATCTTTATTTAGCCTTTGCTGTATATATCCAAAGAGCTGTGTATTGGGAGATCTAAAGGCGAAAGACCTAGTGGATCTCACAGTCAACCGGAGATGACAGAAAATAAATAGTTTCAGACTGTAGCACATATTGAAAAGGAAGGAAAAGAATGACAGCATGGAGAATAAAAGGAGGGGAATTTACAGGGTCTGAGAAGGCCTTTCTGACCTATCGAAGGAGCAAGGCTTGAAAAGATCAGTTGTCAGGCACAGGGAAACAAATGTAAAGTTACTGAAGTGGACATAGTTTGGACTCCCCCCGACCCCTTCCCAGTCATGTCTTAATGATTTATATATAATTGCGTTATTGATGTATAATTGACACAACACACGTCACAACCATAAATCCATCAACACAATTAAGATGAAGTTATAAATCAATCAAAAGTTTCCTTCTAAACTGTTTAATCCCTGTAATCCCTTCCCACCCCTCATCACATCCCCACTCTCCTAGCATTGTCACCAATTGGACTTTTTTCCGATGTAATTGGTTCTGGGGGTGAGATGGAGCATGTGGTGAGATAGTTGAAAGTGGGGGTGGGGGTCAACTCACAAATATCTTAGTAGATCTTGAATATATTGATAGGAGGTGAGAAGTCATCAAAGAAAGGCAATCGTGTGCTCTAGGTTTTTAAAAGCTCACACCACCTTGTGGAGGATTTGGGGCTGGGAATAAGGGATGGAGAGAAAGCAAGAGTGGAAACAGTCAAGTTTAAAATAGCTAAATTGACTTGAGGTGGTGGATAATGATGACTTAGGTTGTGTCCTGTAGAGTGAAATCAGGATTTGGGGGGAAATTAAATTTTTGCACCTTGTATGGAAACTCCAGAAACTTTCAGAATTGGCTTCACTTATAGCTAGTGACTGATGGGAGTTTGATCTGGTGTTCTTAATTCTTTAACAGCTGTGTATAGCCATGTTGATTCTCACATAAGTTGCACATTAAACCATCATAAATTATGAACAGTAAAGAGTCTTACCTTCTGTTTGTTCGTGTTTTGTGGAGGTGGAGATATCTTTTAATCTGGTTTTCCAAGCATTTGTCCCTTTTTGATAGTAAATACTTGCTTTTGAATATGTATCTTTGTTGACTTTCCAGATAAAACATGGCTAAAAGCTTACGGAGTAAGTGGAAAAGGAAGATGCGTGCTGAAAAGAGGAAAAAGAATGCTCCAAAGGAACTTAGCAGACTAAAGAGTATTCTTAAAGTAGACACTGATGTCTTAATGAAAGATGTTCAAGAGATAGCAACTGTGGTGGTGCCAAAACATTCTGAAGCGAAAACTCAGTGTGTGGTGAAAGACGAAAAAGGTGAGTTTATGTGCTTCCTTTTAAAAAAAATTCTTTCTTGTGACTTTTTTCTTTTTTTTTTCCTTGTCTTTGATTCATTCCCACACATGCTTCCTTACAAACCTCCTGCCATGCCCACATGATTCTTTGAAGGCTTATAGTGCTACTAGAGATTTTGTGTTAAACTATTTTATAGCCAGTTCATGTGAACAGGTATGTTTTCATATGCAGAGTGGGCCTTTGATGCTTACACAGTAGCCTAAAGGTCTCGGAAGTAGACAGTGCTTCAGGAGTAGACAAACCTGGATGCCATCGTTCGAAGGTACACAACTCAGTAAAAGACTAGGCAGGATAAAAGTAGGTCTTTCTTCATTTTACCCCTTGCGAAAACTAGTTCCCTCTCTAAGAGTCCTATGCCTTTGTATCATTATCCTGAATATCAACATTTCCTTGTATTTGATTTTGACAGACAGATTTTAGGGACCTCTATATTTTAATCATAGTCTAAAGTTGGAGGCTGAGTATAATAGTTTCAATACAGGGAAAGACTCGCTGGTTTTCACGTGGTTAATACACCACTTTGACAGCAAAATAAATTAAGTACTCACAATACCTAGGGTCTTAAAATACAAGTATATTTATGTGGTTTCTAATAATTAAGGGAAAAAGTAGCATTCCTTAACCTTCCAATCCTAGAAATTTCCTTTCCCATTCTTCACAATGATAGTTTCTTATTTTTTCTTCACATCTCACCCCCATGAATGAAAATTACAAAAAGCTTTTTACTTCAACTTTGAAAAGTAGGAAAAATCAACAGAAAAACCCTCACCTTCCCACTGTCCAAGTCTATAAAAATTTGAATGTGTAGTCTGTTTTCCCTCTTTCATTAATACTCTCTCAAAGGCAGTGTCTCCACCTGTGTTCTGAATCCTCTCCATTCTTGGGCTGTGCTCATGCATCCTACTTAGCAGTATCTCTTTTCTGCTAGGTCATTCACAACAGCTTAAATATATTCTGGAATGTCACATTGAGAAAGAGAGAGAGAAGCATTTAGTACATTGATGTTGTTCAACTGTCACTTCTATTTCCAAGACATTGTCATGATCCTAAAAGGAAACTTTATACCCATGAAGCAGTCTATCCCTATTTTCTGTCTTCCCCAGCCTCTGGCAAACACTTATATGCTTTCTGGTCCCTTTGGATTTACCTATTCTGGATATTTCATATAAGTGGTACTATATAATATGTGACCCGTTGTGTCTGATTTTTTTCACTTAATATAATGTTTTTGAGGTTCATCTATATACTACCGTGGATCGGTACTTTCTTTTTAAAGCTGAATTTTAGCCCATTTTATGTATATACCACATTCTATTTTTTCCATTCATTTGTTTGTGGACATTTAGGTTGCTTCCACCTTCTGGCTCTTTTATAGTGCCACTATGAACATTTCTGCACAAATTTTTGTTTGTATATCTGTTTTTAGTTCTTTGGGATATATAATTATGCGTGGAATTACTGGGTCATGTGATACTTCTGTGGTTACTGTTTTTTCCTCAGTCACACCATTTCACATTCCTACCAACTATCTACAAAGGTTCTAGTTCTTTCACATTCTTGCCAGTACTTATTATTTTCCATTTTTTAAATTTTTATTTATTTTTTCTCCTCACTTGAGGACAATTTTTTAATTGCTTTTAGAAGGAGAGGAAGGGAGAGATACATGAATGCGAGAGAAGTATTTACTGGTTGCCTCCCATATGTGTGTGGACTAGGGAATAAACCCACAACCTAGGCATATACCCTCACTGGGATTTGAACCCACATCTTTTGGTTATGAGATAACACTCCAACCAACTGATCCACACCAGCCAGGGTGGGCGGGCTTGCTTTCTTTCCTTCCTTCCTCCCTCCCTCCCTCCCTCCCTTCCTTCCCCATCCCAGTAGGTGTGAAGTGGTATATCATGGTTTTGATTTGCATTCCCCCATTGACTAAAGATGTTGAGCTTCTTTTCATTGCTTGTTGGTCATTTGTGTATTTGGAGAAAGATCTATTCAAGTTCTTTGCCCCTTTTTTAATTGGATCATTTGTCTTTTTGCTGTTGAGTTGTAATTATTTTTGCAAGTTTTAAACTGATTTTATTGCAGTGGGTTAATCAAAACATGTTTAATATTTAATAATATATATATATGTAGTTTCAAAGTTATATATTCTGCATACTAGTTGCCCATTCATTCCCAAGTCTCTTGGATTTGTCCTCTAATTTTATTTTCTCTCCTGTTTCCTGTTATACTTTGAAATTTTTTTGAACTTTATTATCTGGTTCTTGTGTAGAGTTACTTGGTTTTATATATTTGTAATTTCTAAAATTTTTTCTTTTTTTTACTAGTCTGAGATTCTTTATAGATCTATTCCTTCTCTGATATCACTGAGGGTATTAATTACAGTTTCTTTTACAAATTTTGATCTTTTCTGTGTGTTGTTTATGTTTCTTTTTGGGTTCTCCTTCTTTCTTCCATTCCTTTATTTTTGTCTCTTCCTTATTGGAGTCTTTTCTCCGATGTCTGGTATCAGTACTTGTTTATATCTAAAAGTGATGCACTGAAATGTTTGTTGGATGGAAACTTGTGGGGAGGTGGCAGGTGTGAAGTAGGGCTTATCACTTGCTAGACTTGCAGAATGATTGGATTGGCCCTGGAAAGCTTTGTTGTGGGAGATCTCTTTCAAAACCTATAGGTCCTTTCTGTTATCTCCTGCCTGGGGGGTAGTCTGGCTGCCCTCCTGTTTGGAGTATTTCAAGAACTGAATGGGATGGAACTGAGGTTGGGAGGATCTCCACATTTAGTAATCTACCTGTTTTCAACATGGTTCCTCATCTCTCCCCTCAAATTTATGTTTCCCTTCTGTTCTTTCAACTACCCACTTAATTTCTTAAGCCACAAACCTTGTAATTACCTTTGATCCCTCTTTCCTTTATCTCTGACATCTAAACCATTAGCACATCCTGAGTATTTCCAAAAAACACCTGAAATCTATCCATTTTTCTCATTTATGCTTTCACTCTAATCATTATCTCTTGGCTGAACTACCATAGCCTTTTTGCTTCTAAGTTCTCGTTCCCTTCTGATTCATTTCAGCTTATCAAGCAGTGTGACCTTTTTTAGAATATAAATCAAATTTTATCATTATTGTGCTTAAAACACTGCATTGTCTTTTCATGTGCTTACCAGAGTCTACCATGTCCTACTTAATCTGATTCTGGTGCAGAGAGATACAGAACCACTCTTTTAAAAACTGCATACCACAGGCCAAAGTTTGCTTTGTTATTCTCCTTAACAGACTATCGTAAACCTCATGAGAGCAAGGAGGATATTTGGACCACTATATCCCTAGAACATAGAATAGCATCCAGAATTATCATTCAATAATGAGTTATTGAATGGCTAATATATACCAGCCACTATTCCAGGTACAGTGGAAGCAGTGATGAATATCAGAGAAGTGGCTTTCATTCTAGTGGAATTTACATTGTTTTGGAGGAGAGAGAAATAAACCAGATAAATGAAATAATATAATGTCAGATGGTAGAGGTCATGGAAGAACTTCTGTACCCTGGTCAGTTCCCAGGGAGGGACACTCTGGCCATGTCCTTCACAATAAATAAGATTGGTGATGGATGTGTCATAGCATGGTTGTGCTGAGCTTCCTGCCATGTCTCTTGTTAGTAGAGCTGAGTCTGTAGGAGAGCTGGATCTCTTTGTGTTTTCTGGATAGAAAAATGTGGTAGGATATATCCAGTTCTTCTCTATTTTCCATCCATCTCTGTCATATAAAGCCTCTACTTTCTGCTACTCCACCTCTTCCAAGTTCATGCCATTAGAAGTGGACATTCATTCCTGATTAGCTCATTTACTTCTAAGGCCTGTCCATTAGAAATGTGGGTACATTTCTTATTGGCTCAATTATCTTATTTAGCTCAAGAATGCACTTAATTTAAGAATTATAATTCACATTTGCTCAGAACCATGTACTTATCCCTAATGCAGTGACTCAAAAATCACACATCTTAAATGGTCCCTATTTAACCTTTATTATTCCAAAGAAGGACATCCATGACAGTGTTCTTTAGAAGGTATCTTAGTGGCTAAATATATGGTGTCTCTTTCCTCACAAATACTTTTTGTGTCTTTCATGGTTGTGGGAACACACAGCAGCATGTGTGTGATTTCATTGAATGTGTTGTAAGGGGTTTTCTTTTTTTAAAATATATTTTATTGGTTATGCTATTACAGTTGTCTCATTTCCCCCCTTCACTCCCCTCCACCCTGTATACCCTCTCCCACCCACTTCCCCCCCCCTTTAGTTCATGTCCATGTGTCATACTTATAAGTTCTTCAGCTTCTACATTTCTCATACTATTCTTACCCTCCCCTTGTCTATTTTCAACCTACAATCTATGCTACTTATTCTCTGTACCTATTCCCCCTCTCCCCTCCTCCCACTCTCCTGTTGCTAACCTTCCTTGTGATCTCCCTTTCTGTGGTTCTGTGCCTGTTCTAGTAGTTTGCTTAGTTTCTTTTGGTTTTGCTTTAGGTGTGGTTGTTAATAATTGTGAGTTTGCTCTCCTTTTACTATACATGTTTTTTTATCTTCTTTTCTTAGATAAATCCCTTTAACATTTCATAAAATAAGGGCTTGGTGATGATGAACTCCTTTAACTTGACCTTATCTGAGAAGCACTTTATCTGCCCTTCCATTCTAAATGAAAGCTTTGCTGGATAGAGTAGTCTGGAATATAGGTCCTTGCCTTTCATGGCTTGGAATACTTCTTTCTAGCCCCTTCTTGCCTGTAAGGTCTCTTTTGAGAAATCAGCTTACAGTCTGATGGGAACTCCTTTGTAGGTTACTGTCCCCTTATCTCTTGCTGCTTCTAGGATTCTCTCCTTCATTTTTACCTTGGCTAATGTAATTATGCTGTGCCTTGGTGTGTTTCTTCTTGGGTTCAACTCCTTTGGGACTCTCTGAGCTTCCTGGACTTCCTGGAAGTCTATTTTCTTTGCCAGAATGGGGAAGTTCTCCTTTATTATTTGTTCCAATACGTTTTCAATCTGTTGCTCTACTTCTTCCCCTTCTGGTATCCCTATAATTTGGATGGTGGAACATTTAAAGATGTCCTGGAGGTTCCTAAGCTTCTCCTCGTTTTTTTGAATTCTTATTTCTCCATTCTTTCCTGTTTGGTTGTTTCTTTCTTCCTTCTGGTCCACGCTACTGTTTTGAGTCCCAGTTTCCTTCCCATCACTATTGGTTCCCTGTGCATTTTCCTTCACTTCTTTTATAGTAACCTGCATTTGTTCATCTAATTTGCGACCAAAATCAACCAATTCTGTGAGCTTCTTGATCACCAGTGTTTTGAACTGTGCATCTGATAGGTTAGTTATCTCTTGGTCACTCAAAAGGATGAGTTCTGGGGCACTGATTTGTGCTTCTGTTTGAGCCATCTCTCTCTCTGTCTGTCTGTCTTTTTTTTTTTTTTTTTGACTGGTCGTTCCTGTTATGGTGAGGGGCAGAGCCTTAGGTGTTCACCAGGGCTGGGCACCCCAGTCTCTAGATTGTGACATTGTATGTGAGGGCGGGGTCGAGAGGGAACAATGGTGGTAGCTCCGTTCTCCATGGGACCTCAGTCCCTTCCCTGGGATCCTGGGTTGCACGCTCTGCCCTGCTCCACAATCGCCGCCTCACTGGGTCTGCTGGCTGCTGCTTGTGTACTCAGCGTCTACCTGCTGCGATCTTGCGCGCCCCAGATGCCTTATGCGCTCCCGGTTGCCTTATGTGCCCAATTCTCCCTGTTCTGTGCGCCGCACCCCGAGCACCCGACTGTTTGTCTCCGCCCCTCCTACTGGTCTGGATGAACAGGTCTACTTCAACTTCTTGGCTGTCTGACTTCCATTCAGATAAATTTTCTGTCAGTTCTGGGTGTTATTCTGCCTCTAAATTGTTGTTCCAATCTTGGTTGTGCCAGGGGTTTTCAATGTGTAGTCAAAGTGCTATACACAAATAAGAGATTTTTTTCTTTTGTAGTTTCAGGCCACTTTCATTTCTGATATTCTTGTTGCATTAATATGCTTTTTTACAGGGTGGTTTTTTCATTCAGGAGTATTAATAGTTTTTCCTTTTTTTAAAAAAATTCAGATGACATGAAAATGGAGACTGATATTAAGAGAAACAAAAAGAGCCTTCTAGATCAGCACGGACAGTACCCCATATGGATGAACCAGAGGCAGCGAAAAAGGCTGAAGGCAAAGCGAGAAAAAGGGAAGGGGAAAAGAAAAGCAAAAGCAGTGAAGGCGGCTAAGGGATTGGCCTGGTAGACTTTTAAAAACGTGAAACGTGGCACATGGGACGGATCTTTGATTAGAATGTATACACTGATTTCAACTTCTACCAAATGAAAACTCCATTTCCATATTGTAACTGGCCTTTTTCTTCAGTTCAAACTCAACATAACTACTTAAATTTAACTCCTTAAATTTGTTTTGGAAACTTAAATAAAATATTTTCTTTGATGAATGAAATATATATTGATATTTTAATTGGATGCCGTTTGGTATGTAAGGATTACCATCAGACATTAAAATTCTATCAAGTATTAATGTAGTTGTGGCTGTTTTTGGTATTAGTAAAGATAAATGATATACTAACCCAGATTTAAAGAAACTATATAGTGTTATTTAAAAATACAATGTCAGTGGATCTTACAAGTAGTACTTGTTTGAGTTTTGATTTTGTATAATTTATAATAAAAGGTATTTTGTTTAGGTCTTGAATATCTTTTCTTTCATTTGTCCTTAAGGTATTCTAGTAGTAATGACCAGATTCTTCTTTTAAATCTTTAGATAGAATATTAACATGCACAAGTTAGTATGATCCATCTTTTAAGGAGATTAGACATCTTGGGCCTGGTTTGATTTTTATTAGTCTTTATATTATGTAACCTAACCTGCAAGATTTCTCAAAATCAGTTTTCCCAGATTGGTAAAAAAATATATTTCATGGTCACATCATTTTGGAAAATGCTACATACTTGAAGATGTACAAACAGTGTTTACTTAGTATTGGATTAAGGAAACTTTGAATTAAGTGGAATAGACTACACTATTGGAAATATTGGTAAAGTATTTTAAACTTCGCATTTCCTCTGAAATTTCACTGTAATCATATTTACTGTCACTTTACATTCATTGGAACAACAGATATTTATTTTGAGTCCCTGCTGGGTGCCAGAGACTTTTCCAGGTGCTGGGACACAGGAGCCACACAAGGTGTCTGCCCTTACGGGCAACGGCTCAGAAGAGGCTGTTTACATCAGAAGAAAACCAGGTTAAAGTGAGATGTTACAGTAAGGTCGTCAGGACACAAATTTTGTGCCAAACTGCTAGGCTGGGACACAATTTACAGACAAATAGGACCTGACTCAAATCTTTTAGGAGTTTTGAATCTATAAAACTTAATGCCAGTAAAATGTTAAAAATTATTTTAAATAATAGACTTTTCTCAGTTTACTCTGGTTAGTTCACTGAAAAGTTAGTGGATAATTTTTAAGCAGTTTTCTTGAAGTAAGTAGATGTGAGTTGGAAAATAAATGTCATTCATGGCTTTTTTTTGCCTCTTAGTATAGTTATGAACAATAAATGGAGTTTCTGAGGAAAAAATAAGTAATGTTTATGAAGTCAAGTTGCTAACGTTATCTAATTTAGGCACTAAGCCTAAGTATACTAACTAAATTATTTACCTTTTTTTCCCTATTGGGAATTGTCTATATCAGCGATGTTACATGCTGAATGTTTGTTTATATTTTGGCAACATTGTCAAGTATTTTTTAACTGGATTTTCCTTAGTTAAGGTCAGAGGCCACTGCCCAGGATATGTACATGTTTTCTGTTGCGGAAAACCTCTAACTGGACTCCAATGGTCGTTGCTTTGAGCTTTCATCCAGGGCCTCGTAATGATGTAGGTATGTTCACTTAAATGTGTCCAGTTGTAAAGTTTGTCCAGCCAGGATTTAACTTAACAAAATTGAAAATCAGAACACCACTATCAAAAAGCTGACTTGGGAAATATGTTCTAAGTGTCCTGGAGCCTCTGGCAATTGCCTTGCTCCGAGTTGGTGGGCTGCACTTCTGGCCAGATTCCCCTCCAAAGGAGGGCATTTAGACGGGCATTCAAAATTGGGTGCAGGGGTAAGATCACTGTTGCTGCTTTATTGCTAAAGATTATAAATTAAGAAGTATAGCAACGTCCTTTTATCTTTTAAGTGAGTAAAAGTTTCTTTTTTTGAAAGTTAATCATTCTATTTGACTCATGGTTTCCAGGGAATTGCTGTAGAACCAGCAGATGGAGCTCAAGCTAAGCGCCAAATCATTTTTGGAATTAGACTGAGTGGGCTAAATCACAGTCTGAATAGAATGTAACATTTTATGTTTGTTTTTTAAGAAATTAAAATATTTAAGGATAATTAAAATTGCCTTCATTTTATCAGTTGCTTCATATGTCAGGCCTTAGTGTAAGTTATTTAATCCTAAACTGTTCAGTTAAAGTTATTAACTCACCCAGCAATCAATGAGTTGGCTACTTAATATTATCTCTGTTACACATGGGGAAACTGAGGCACACAGTCCATACAGTTAAAACTGGAAGAGGTGGGACTCAAATACAGACAGGCTCCGGATTGTAAGAGTCTACAATCTTACAATGCTATCCTGCCTCTAAAGAAGGTGCAAACTTGCTAAGAAAGAAAGGTAGTTTTAGGAAAGAATACCTATATTGATTCAATCCATGATGCAAGCTTAGGATCAGATAGCATATTTTAGCAGAGAAGTGATTTATAGACCCCTTCTCAAATCTCTGGGGCTAAACAGGACTGTAGTTCCCGAGGTAGCACTCCCCTAGAACGGGCTGACCCAACCCCAAAGGTGAAGTCCAAGATTAGTAGTGCCCAAGCTACTAATCAGAGAAGAAATTGGAACTGCAGTTGAAACTCTAACGTAGAATAAGATAATGATTTTGATCCCTTCTTTTTTTGTTTTCAAATGTCACATTGATGTAGGTTCCTTTTTCTCCCACTAGTTCACATGCTGTCTAGCATAAATGTGTAGCAGAATATATTCACTTATTAGAGAGTTTGGATGTTTTCAAAATTTGAGTCTTAGCAGGGATATGATTTTTAGGAGTTGGAGAAGAAAAAAACTGGCTAACAATGACTTGATTTAAATATCCGAAATGGACTGGATAATGATGGCAAGGGGTAGTATGTGGTTTAGACTAGTGAAGTGGTAGCCACAAAGTAAGATAAATGGGAGAAATGTAAAGAGACTTCAAGGAATTGCCAAATTTATAAATACTTCTACTGAGATGCAGATGTTTGGACTGTTGACTAAGCTTACTATTTAAGTGACTGACTTTTGATGCCACCTGGCATCATGTTAGGCATAAAATGGAATTCTGTTCCCCTGTATTTGCCAGCCTATAAAAATACCATTGCAGCAGATGCATACCAGTTTTACAAGGAACTGTCGGAGGGGAGTGGGAACTGTTAAGTACTCACACCAGGTCAGCGCCCCCTGCTGTTCTCAGGGCCCTGTCATGCAGCAGGAAAGCTGGGGCCAGATTTGTGTCTGCCTACAAGAGACCCAAAATTTTCCACAGTTGAATGCCAAGGGTCTTCTCCACCTATTTTAGAGCAGGAGAAAAACAGAATGTGATGACATAAGACTCATTTGGTAGATTAATAATAATAACCAACATTTAGAGAAAGCATACTGTGTTAAACATTTCACCTACGTTATTTCATTTAACCCTTAAAACAGTACTGTGGACAGGAACAAGTATAAAAGACACATGGACAAAAACTAGGGGGGAGTGGAAATGGGAGGGAGGTGGGGAGGGCTGGGAGGGTTGGCTGGGAAGGGAGTAAAACAGAAAACTACTTGAACAACAATTAAAATAAAAAAAAAAAACCAGTACTGTGGAATCAATACTCTTATTATCTATCCCTCTTTTCAGATGAGGAAACAGTTTTGAAGAGATAAGTAAATTGCCCAAATTCATGCGACCATTCACTAGTGAGCACGACTGCTCCAGAGTGTAGACCGAATGAATGTGTGTGATGGGGAGCTTCAGAGACTGATTCACCCTAAGGAAGAACTTAACCAAGATGTTGGGAGGTGGAACAGGCAGCCTTAGGAGCACTGCCCTGTTCAGCTATGGCTGGAGAGCCACCTGGTTGGAAGGTAGCAGAATGGATTCAGATATTGTACAGCAATACCCACTTACCTGCAGGGGATGCAGTCCAAGATCCCTAGTGGGTACCTGAAACTGCAAATAGCAGTGATCCCTATATATACTATGCTTTTCCCTGCACATGCTTAAACTATGGTAAATTTAATTTATACATTAAGCACAGTAAGAGATTAACAACAACTAATAACAAAGTAGAAACTTTGTAACAATACAGCTGACCCTTGGACAACACAGGTCTAACCTGTGGGGGTCCACTTACAGGCAGGTTTTTTCCAATAAATACACAGTCAGCCCTCCTTGTCCCTGGGTTTTGCATTTGCAGATTCAACCAACCACAGATTGGAAACTGTTTTTGATCTGCAGTTGGCAATCCAGGGATGTAGAGGGCCAACTGAATGTGCTGTTCTACACCATTCCATATAAAGGAGTCCTGCATTGCAGATTTGCGGGGTTGCAGGGGGAGGGGGAGTCATGGAACCATTCCCCACAGATGCCAAAGAACAACTGTACTTAAGGTTTTGGACAGTCAAAGTTATACAATGTTTTTCTACTGTGTGGGAGGTGGGGTTGGTGCCCCTAACCTCTGCATTGTTCAAGGCTCAAGTATATACTGTAATAAGTTATGTGGATGTGGTCTCTCTCAAAATATCTTCCTGGACTGTGTGTACGGTGTGGATGCCCAAGACAAAGGGAGATTCCTGTTTCTGGCAGGATAGAGGCTGGACGGCTCAGGTTTCATCGCACTACTCAGAATGGCGTGAATTGTTTATTTCTGGAATTTTCCATTTAATATTTTCAAACCACAGTTAACCACAGGTAACTAAACTGAAGAAAGTGAAACCTCAGATAAGGGGAGACTACTGTACATGGAGTTTGGATTGAAAGCTGCAAAGGTCCTTTCCAGTCAAGAAATGCCTTGCAGGAAGTTGTCACATCTGACATGTATTGTACTTGCTTTGCTCTCTCTGTATAGTCTTTTGGCACAACATGATTGCAGACTTTAGTATCTTTTTGTGGAAATAACAAAATTTGAAACTTTCTTAAATTTGTTAATGTTAAGTCTGGTATTCATTCCACTAAGTTCCACTTTAAACTTTGGAAAAACGTTATAAACATCTGCTTTAAACAATGAATGGGGTAAAGTCCCCTGCATTTTGATTTAAAGAATGGCATAGTTTTATAATACACTAAGCTTATAATATGCAGAATGTATTTAATTTCCTAAAGCGATGACTTATCTTGTCATTGCACTATCTTATGAAACACTTTCGCATTCTCACATTGTGTCTTTATAGTTTTCAATATCAGCAAAACCTTTAAATAGTCTTAGTTGGGTAACTGCTAGTACATATGGTATTTCTGATCCATGTAATAAAGTACATTTGTCATGTATCTTGTGATCTGCATACCTTTCAGCTGTTACTTCATAAATCTATTCCATCGGAGAACTGCTTTGTACAGCAGTGGTTGAAGCTGCTTTTAATAAACTAATATTTTGTGTCTCATATGTAATCAACAGGGAGTATTA